CAAAATTACAATGAAGTAGTGATAAAAATAATTTTATGGTTGGGGGTCATCACAACATGAGGAACTGTATTAAAGGGTCGCGGCATTAGGAAGGTTGAGAACCACTGCTCTAGTACATATCTTACCAAGATATCCCCTCATTCTCCCACTTAGAGCCCTTCAGGGATTGCCTTCTGCTCTCAGGATGGAACCAAGGTCCTTGGTCAGGTAATGAAATGCCCCCTTCCAGCCCGCCCTCCCTGTGCCCGGCTGAACCACCGAAGGCTCAGCCAGCTTCACAGCTCTGAGCCTTTGCCCCCGTAGCTCTCTGAGCCTGGCCTGTATCACTCACCATTGAGTGGGTCTCAATCCTCACTGCAAATCCGAACCATCTGGAGAAAGTAAGCAGCAAAACCAAAAACAGCAATGCCAGGCCCTTGTGGGATAGAATGATATCACAATAAATTAGAATCTCCGAAGGTAGGCCTGGGTATTCTGTCAGCGCTCCAGGCGATTCTGATTGAAACCAGAGCTGCGACCACTGCACAGGCGTAACTCCCTGCCCGCAGCAGGAACGTCCCAGGGACGCTGCTATCAGCCTGCCGTCCTGCTCCCAGACTGAACGCTCGGAACCTCTCAGACTGCGCTTTGGCTAGATGAGCCCCATTAAATCAGGAAATATTAAAAACACCTGCTGGGCACAACTAATCGAAAACCTTCTCTATAAATTACAAGTGGTGACTGCCCTGTTTCAGGTGTCAAGATGCACTCAATTCCCCATATTCATTTCCCCTCTTACCTCGTAGTAGCAGAAGGCAATGTATATTTTTTGAGCAACTCCACCTGCAGTACACTCATGTCATCTGGATCCTCACAATAACCGAGACAGGCTCATTTCCATCTTACAGATGAGGAAACCTGTTAAAAACATCAAGTATTTGCACTGTTTTTTCATGGTGCATATCACATTAAATTTTTTATTGTCCGTCTTCCCCACAAGACCCTAAGAATGACATGTTTCATTCACTGATACACACCTGGCAAACACCTGGCCAATGCTCAGAATTACTCACCCAATACTTTTTGTTAAATTCAGGATGCTCCCCCCTCTCTGCTGGTGAACTTCATTCTTTTCATACAGATCACCTTGCTTGTACCCACTGCACCTGAGCTCAGGGCCCCCTCAGCTTCTTCCACCAGAGACTAAGCTCATCTCAATTTTAGTATAAAAAAATCATTCACAGCCCTAGCTGTTTTGGCCCAGTGGGAAGAGCGTCGGCCTGAGGACTGATGGATCCTGGCTTCGATTCTGGTCAAGGGCACATACTCGGTTGCAGGCTCGAGCCCCTCTCTCTGTCTCTTCCCCTTCCCTTCCACTCTCTCTAAAAAAATCAATAGAAAAATATCCACGGGTGAGGATTAACGGCAACACGAATTTAAAATAAATAAATAGCCCTGACCGGTTTGGCTCAGTGGATAGAGCATCAGCCTGGGGACTGAAGGGTCCCAGGTTCGATTCTGGTCAAGGGCATGTACCTTGGTTGCGGGCACATCCCCAGTTGGGGATGTGCAGTTAAAAAATAAATAAATAAAAATTAAAAAATCATTAACAGAAATTCTAGTTAAAAACAAAAAGAAACATGGTGCCTACTGTGGGCTAATCAAGTGGGGTCCAGAAGTCAAGCCATGTGAGGATAAGGAGGTTCAAGAAGGTACAGTCCCCAGAAGTGAGGTGTGTTGAGCATGCTGGGTAAGCTGCATGACCATTGTGTGCCCCATTTTCCTCATCTACAAAATGGGGGAAATCCAACATCCTAGGATTAATATGAGAATTAAACGACACAGTCCTCATAAAGTCCTTAGAACTACACCTGTCACACAGTAAGCCTGACTGGACTACAATGAAAAGGTTTACATGTATCTACTATAATACCAGGCATTGCTCTAGAACAGGGGGTTGGCAAACTTTTTCTTTAAAAGGCCAAACAACAAATATTTTAGGCTTCACAGGCCATCCAATCTCAGTACGCACTACTCAACTCCGCTGCTCTTGCAGCAGAAACAGCAACATTGCCAATGCATAAATGAATGGGCGTGGCTTTGCTCCAATCTATCTTTTTTCAAAAGCAGGCAGGCTGCATTCAGCTGCAGGTCAGTTTGCTGATCCCTTTTCTAGAACATTGCTGTCCAACAGAAACATAATGCAAGCCACAGATAGAATTTAAAATTGTCTAGCAGCCACGTTAAAAAAAAACAGACAGGTGAGTCCAGCTGGTGGTGCTCAGTGGTTAAGCCTCGACCTATAAACCTGGAGGTCAAGGCACATGCCTGGTTACAGGCTGGATCCCGTGTGGGGCTTACGGGAGGCGGCTGATCAATTATTCTCTCATCATTGATGTTTCTATCTCTCTCTCCCTCTCCCTTCCTCTCTAAAATAGAAAACAAAACAAAACAAAAAAACCACCACAGGTGAAATTAACAATACATTTTACTTAACCCAGTTTATCTAAAATACTGCTACTTCAACATGTGATATAAAAAATTATTGAGATACCTTATATTTTTCATACTAATTCTCAAAAATTTCGCTGTTTTATGCTTACTGCACAACTCAATTCGGACCAGGCACATTTCAAGTACTCAATTGCCTATGTAGCTAGTGGCTACCATATTGGATAACACAGTTCTAGAACATATGCTAATACAGATAATGCTTAGATACACACCTATACCTCTAGTTTCTGAATACATACCAAAAAGAGAATGTATACAGCGCCAGCAAGAGTATGCATATAAAAGCTTGTCATTATTAACTAGTATTACAGTATGTGCAAGGTGCACACATCTGGCCTAAACCCCGAAGAGTGGAAGACCAAAGAAAATTTTCCAAAAGTTTACAAATTAGCAGTCACTTAGATCTGTTTAGAACTTTAGATCTAAGATCTAATCCAGCTACACTGGGAGCCCCTTCCTCTAGGGGAGAGAAATGCCAAATGTTTTTTTTTAATTTTTTCCCCTTTATTAAGGTATTACAAATGTGTCCTTATCCCCCCATTGTCCTCCATTGGTTAGGCTTATATGCATGCATACAAGTCCTTTGGTTGATCTCTACCCCTTAGCCCCACCCTCTCCTGCCTTCCCTCTGAGGTTTGACAGTCTTCTGTCTCTAGATCTGTTTTTGTTCATCGGTTTATGTTGTTGTCCGTAGGGGCATCTCGGTTTCTTAACTGTCAATACTGTACTGCGCTAGGGGCCTCTCACATTAAGATGTTCCCTAGCAATTGAATGGAAGGGACAACCCAAGGGCCCGCTCTGGCCCGGGTTCAGGTTCCGGTGGGTGGGGTGGAGCGACAAGCTAAGCCTGCAGCAACCGTTCTGGGGTGACAGCCTGGCACCCAACACAAGCAGGGGCGGCCCGGAGGGATCTGCCCACCCCGGGGCCCTCGGGGCGGAGGGGACAAAGGAACGTTCAGGCCTCCCCCGCCCAAGGTCCAGGGCGCACCAGGACTCCCCGGCGCAGAGACCTAGGCAAACCCGGGGCGTGGCTCACCAGGAAGAGCCGGCTGAGCGTGGAGCCCTCCGCGGCCTCCGAGTCTAAAGTAGACTTCCGGTCCCCAGGGCGGGACCACCAAGGTTCAGCCAATCAAAGCCCGCAGACTGGAAAACACAGCCGGGATTCAGCGCTTGCGCACAGCGATCGGCGGCCGTGGGGCGGGTCTGGGCCGCTCGCTGGAGGCGGCTGGCCCAGGGCCAACAGTGCAGCATCCGGGCACGGATGGAAGAAACTAGTGCGGGTATTGTTTTTCAGCAGCGGTTTGTGGAACTGCTCTGCAACGTTCCATTTCTGCTGCCAGTCAAGACAGTGCTCAGCTAAATACTGACAAAACTTTGGACAAAATGTTCATTACCTATTTAACGCAGAGATTAATTCCACGAGCATTTATTGCACCCCTAGCATGCACCAGCTAATGTGAAAGTAGTGGACATTCAGTAAGTAGCCATGTGCATCCCGCACTAATCATCTGTGCACATCTTCCCCTGCAAGGGCTCAATAAAACCAAAGTGATGGTACAACTAGAGAATGTGGCTCCCTTCTTTGCTGATCCCCTCCTGTAAGACAACTTGGGGGGCAGTTCAAGGAAGCAGGGGTTTGCTCTGGACTGGATGCTGTCAGGAAGCAGGGCAATTCTAAGATGGAGCAATGTAATAAACCTTACCTAGAAGAAGGGAAGACAAGGCCAAGACTAAAACCGTAATTAGCCAAAATAAAAAATAAAAGTTAAAAGATAAAAGAGAGCAGCAGTAACTCAGTTTTAAAAACCGTTGAAATACCGCAAGTCCATTCTGGATGTAACCTAAGAGACTTTAGTTTCAAAAGATGATTGCTAGAAGATTGTTTCTATCACAAGAACAAAGTGAGACATCTGTAAATCAGTTTTATTGGACAGGCTGGGCTCAGTAGGGTGAATGTCAGAAGACACATTGTTCTCTCATCACTGCCTTGAAACAAAGCTCTGTGGGCTATCTCCCCTTTCCCATGGCTCCTCCACGGCTGGAGCCTGAGGCTTTTCCAATTACTTTCAGGTATAAAGAAATCATCTTCATTTTTAGGTTATTAAAACCCATTCTAACCTAATGTAAAAAAATCAACTACTCATCCAATTCAAAGCTCCGACCTTCCCTCAGCTCAGGTGTGGTTTGTAACTCCGGAACAGCAAGGAGAAACACATGTGAAGGGCAGGCAAGTCTGGCTTTAATAACTTCTTGGTGTAGCTCATAGGATGGAAATTTAGAGGCAATGAAACAATATTTATACTACTTGGTTACTGGGGCTGCTCCAAAATTCCATTTAATCAGAAAAATATAGGAAAAGTACAAAAAAGTGGGATTGAAAGGATGCCAACTCTATTCAAAGACCTGCCTACTCGACTGTCTTTTGTACTGTGGTTAGGAAATCTGAGCTGCAGCCTACCGCTGGGATTTCATTTTGTCAGAGTGGCTTCTTACCAGGAGGAGCACAGGCTGCCAGTGATCCTGTACCGACTGCTCCATGAAACGCCTCACTTCATTTTGGTTCTCAGCAGTTCATCAGAGTAGCAAGACATAAACCCTGAACTAAAAAGCACTGGTCCGTGCTGCTTCCTTGTCCTTTGTTCTTGCACCATGTCGCTTCGAGGCTCATTCTCATGGACAAACTGTACTCACCATCCACAGCCCCCCTTTCATGGTATAACCTGGGAGTGCTGCCAGAGGGACCATTCATCAAAAATGACAATATAGCAGATGACATGTACTGTACACAGAGAACCCTAAAGACTCTGCCAAAAAACTACTGCAACTGATAAATGAATTCAATAAAGTAGCAGAATACAAAAGAAATATCCAGAAATCAGTTGCATTTTTATACACCAATAATGAACTATCAGAAAGAGGAACTGAGAAAACAATCCCATTTATAATTGCATCAACAAAAAATACCTGGGAATTGCCCTAGCCAGTTTGCTCAGTGGTTAGAGTGTTGGCCCATGGACTGAAGGGTTGACGGTTCGAGTCTGGTCAAGGGCAGGTACCTTGGTTGCAGGCTCAATCCCCGGCCCCAGTCAGGGCACATGCGGGAGGCAGCCAATTAATGTGTCTCTCTCACATCGATGTTTCTGTCTCTCTCCGTCTCTCCCCCTTGCTTCCACTCTCTCTAAAAATCAATGGGAAAATATCCTTGGATGAGGATTAACAACAACAAAATACCTGGGAATAAATTTAACCAGGGGTGTAAAAGACCTAAGGACTAGTTTTAAAAAAAATATGTTTTTATTGATTTCAGAGAGAGAAAGGGAGAGAGTCGGAAACATCAATTATGAGAGAGAATCATCAACTGGCTGCCTCCTGCACACCCCTTACTGGGGATGGAGCCTGAAACCCAGGCATGTGTCCTGACAGGGAATCGAACTGTGTCCTCCTGCTTCATGGGTTGATGCTCAACCCTGGCCGAGCTCATATACTAGTTTTTATTAGTTGTTCTTAGTTTAAAAACTAACTCAAACATCAACTAAGTTTCTAGTTGCTAAAGAAAACAAAGGCATCAACTCATTTGTCATGACAAGAGTACATCATTTAGACTGGTATGTTGGCATGTACTCAATCCCAGCGTTTATGTGATATGGTCCACGTGGGGACTCCGGTGGGTTTGGGTCAGCAGCTTTTAGCCCACTCTCTGAAAAGCTAATTAGTTACCCCAATCTGCCCTAGCTGGGAGCAGCCACATGACCCAGGCTGGCCCAACTGCACACCCCTCCCCAGAATGTGAATTTTGAGCAGAACAATGTGGAGACTAACAGTGTGAGATCATTCTGGCAATGGCGGCATCCTGGTCAGCAATGGCTTTTTTCTATAGCTCTGCTTCTAGCCCTGCAGACCATTTCCAAGGCTGGCTCACTGATCCTTCCACTTGCCTGCACACTCCTGCTTTTTTACTGCAACTTCCCTTTGACATGTTAGCTGAGATGTTTCTGTTGCTTGCTACCCAGAAACACTAACTGACACAGCCCCCATTTTCACATAGCTGTGAGATTTGAGGGCCATCAGAAGAGAATCCCTGAAAAAAGAAATGTTCTCTTTCAGAAGAAAAGAGAGAATCCTTGATCTTACCATGGGGCTGAAATTGCCTTCTTACTCACTCCTTGGTATGAAGGCATTGGAAGCTGCTATTATACAACAGAAAATATGAGTTAGTAAAAGTTACACTCGCAGCTGCTTATTCCTGACACTTGAGTTATCTTTTAAGGGTAGCCTCCCTTCACTTGGCAGAGACCAGCGGAACAGGACATAGGACCAGTAAGCGTTGATAGAAGAGAACGAGAGTTCTGCAAGATTGGATTCTTCAAGATCTCAGGGGTGAGTGAATTGTAAGGTTTTGGGTATCCAGAAAGAAGCATGAGTTCACTAGATACCGGAAAAGGGAGAGATGGAGCAATGGGGGGGGGTGAGGGGGTAGGGGGCTGATGCTGAAGACAGTCCTTTTAGCTGTTTCCCTGGTGGCAGCCACATACATATGCACATAGGCTGCCACAAGGGGGCACTGCTGGAACTCTGAGAAAGGGTCTCAAAAATGAATGGTGCAAGTGGGAAGTGTCTCACTTTGAGCAGGAGAGCTGTGTGACCGCAGCTAGGACTCATGAGGGAAAAGATTTTTAAAAGGACAGTGACAGTGACTGGAATAGAGTCAAAGACCTGTGAGGCCAGGATATTGGATGGGTCATCTGCACAGATTGATTGATGACAATGGCTAGGAAGGACAGCGGGCTGGAGAGCTACTTAATGGCACCTCCAATGAACAGTGGCTTTTACATGGGAATCAAGAAGTAAGAGACTGTAAACAAGAGTAGGGAGAGGAGAATGGCACCTTCAACTCCAGACCCTGATATGTGTGCACTGTGGGAGGATGAGTGGCAGCCATTTGATCAAGCTACAGGGGTAGAAGTGGCTATGGGAGAGAGCTCAGTTCAGCTAAGGCTGAGAGACGGAGGAAGACATCGCTGGCATGAATTAAGATGTAGCAGAGTTTGTTTACCAGACTGTGGAGTATGTGTGATGGGGGAGGGGACAGAAACAGTGGGAGTTAGTGTCCAGAAGAGGAAGCTCATAACAGTGTTGGGGTGAGACAGTGCGAGAGCATGGATGACATGGGGTTTTGCACATTGGATCATGGCCAGGGTCAACAGATATGGGAGTCATGGCGGAATTAGCTGACCTTAGATTTCCCCGAAGGAAGCAAAGTATGATTCGGTGCGGGTGCAGGTTAGAGCTCCATGACACTACAGGCTGTTGATTGGAATTTAAAACAATATGTTGGTATTTTTTGTTGTTTATTTATTTATTTAACTGTATGAGAATATTTATTTGGTAAATCACAGAAGTAGAAATAATTCCTATCCCTGTGGCTCAATGGTTGAGCGTCGACCTATGAACCAGGAGGTCACGGTTTGATTCTCAGTCAGGGCACATGCCCGGGTTGCGGGCTCGATCCCCAGTAGGGGGCGTGCATGAGGCAACCGATCCATGATTCTCATCATTGATGTCTCTCTCTCTCTCCCTTCCTTTTTTCTCTGAAATCAATAAAAAAATATATTTTTAAAAAGAAATAATTCCTAGAAGAAATGTGTGTAGGAAACATGTTATAGAGGTAGGAAGGGCTCTTGGGGCTTGGGAGTGAGGAAGGGATGGGGGGAGGAGAGGGAAAGGAAAGGGAAAGGCATGGGCATACTCCTGGGAGAGCGCCAATGTGTTGGTATTTAAGGGTCTAAAAAGTTAATCCCCAAGACTATGGTCTTGTGGTGAAAATGGCAGAAGTAGCCCCCAGGGAGCAGGGAGAGTGGTCACCGAGTCTGGATTGTGCTTTGTTTGAAATCCTAGGTAGGCCAACGAAGGATGTTTTTTCTTTCACTTAATATTGAGCAGTGACCAGTCTGCGCAGCGGTAGAGATACCATAATGTTGTCAGTGACCCAGGCTTTCTCCAGCTATGCACTCTGTTATAGGGTGTGGTCCTTGCCCTCAGGATCATGAAGTACCTCATAGAGTTGCTGCCTTCAAAACCACATTGAAGGCGGGAAGAAGGAAGAAGAGAGATGGCAAAAGTGTGCTGCCAGCTGAGAGCCCTCTTTAATGATCCTTCCTGGAAGCCTACCAATGCTTCAGTGGCCTCCTCCAACTGAAAGAGATTTTGAGAAATGCAGTCCTTTAGTTGAGTACATTGCCCTCTAACCCCCAAATATATATTTTTTAAAATATATTTTTATTGATTTTAGAGAGGAAAGGAGAGGGATAGAGAGATAGAAACATCAATGATGAGAATCATTGATTGGCTGCCTCCTGCACGCCCCCTACTGGGGATCAAGCCCACAACCTAGGCATGTGCCCTTAGCTGGAATCAAACCTGGGACCCTTCAGTCTGCAGGCCAACACTCTATCCACTGAGCCAAACCAGCTAGGCCCCCCCCCCAAATATATTTATATATGGTTACATTAGTAAGGGAAAGAGTGAGAATGGATACTGGATAGGTAACTAGAAGTCTCTGCTACAAATATTAGAGAAACATGAAATATTAGCTTTATGCATTGTTTTTATCCATGTATAACATGATTCACAGGCCTCTCTATTTCATTTTTGGTTCAACATCTCTTCCTTCATTTTAAAAAATATATTTTTATTGATTTCAGAGAGGAAGGGAGAGGGAGAGATAGAAACATCAATGAAAATCATTGATTGACTGCCTCTTGCACACACCCTACTGGGGATCGAGCCCACAACCCAGGCATGCGTCCTTGACCAGAATTGAACCTGGGACCCTTCAGTCTGCAGGCTGACACTCTATCCACTGAGCCAAACTGGTTAAGGCACATCTCTTCCTTTAATCTGGATCACTGGGACACTGTCTTTTATTACAAATGCTCCCCCCTATCTTTCTTTATTCTAAGCCACAACTATGGTCTCATATTTCCTTGATCACTGAATGGACAGAAAGTCTTCCTCAGATTCTACTGCAGTATTTGAAACCACATGTATCAGTTAGCTTTTGCTGTGTAACAAACCACTCCAAATTTTAATGTCTTAAAATAACCATTTTATTCTCTCTTACAATTCTCTGCGCTGATTTGATGTAGCTGGGGCAGGTTTTCAACTGGTCTCCCTAGAAAAACTGTTTTGAGGGTTTCTATAACTACCAGTTCTCAAACAGATATAGCTACAGTCTTGTGTAGACCTTATGTGCCAAGATTACTTCACACTAAAGAAAAACAATGTGTTCCCCTACCCCCCACCCCACAAGAGTTTCAATATGAAAGACTTGAAGAGTGAGACTACAAATTTTAAAGATTAATAAGTGGGCCACCTTCTCTCTTTCCTTACTCTTATGGCCCATTGCTTTTAGGGGAGGGCAAGAAAATATCTGGAGAACCTTCTATTTGGGGGCTATCTTGGAGCTATTTGTGACTGAGAATCTTAAAGCAGAGTATCCTTTCATCCTCAGACAATTCACTCAGGATTCATTACTGTACAAAGCTGTTATTGGATTTGGTAGAAAAGAGAAATAGAAAAGAGGGTATCCATCTTTTTTTTAGTCCTGCTACTTGCTTAACTTAGTTTTACGTTCTCTGAGGCCTTGAACTCAACAATGTATGCTAATTTGCAATTATGAAGCCTAATAAAGCAGCCATGTGTTCCCATAATAGAAAGTACTTTTAAGAAAATAAAGTATTTCCATAGAGAAAAGAATAAAAACCACATTTCCACAAAGCAAATAATCATGCACATAGCTAAACATAAAATCAAATTAGCACATTTTCTTACTTAGAAAAACAAACCATGACACAAGGTGATTATTTGGATATTAGTACAAAGAATTTAAACATACAAGTTTGGCTATAAAAGATCAGGTTAAGCAACTTAGGTAAAAGTCTATCTGTGATGTCATGGTTTCCAAGAAGTGCCCTAAAAGTCACACAATTAAACATTTCTCTGTGCTTTTTTTTGTAATTCTAGAAGTGTTGTATAGAGAGGTTCATCAACTCATATAGACAAATAAAATATATTGGGGGAAAAAGCTGAACTGACATTTCCACATTTTATCAATTCAGAAATGAATTTAAAGCAAATAACGAGGCAACTATACAAGAAAGGCAGCTTACAATAATGTTTCTATTGGTACATTACAATTTTTCAGTTCGTATTTTTTAAATGGAGGGGCATCTGTGACATAATATATAAAAAAAACAGAGAACTGACATTAAAAGTCAAATATAAGGATATAAAAGACAACAGTAACATTCCAGCATCCACTGATAAAAAGGCCACCAGGACATTAGCCTGACACCAGCATGACACCGTCTACAGCAATTTCTCCGGTTTTGCCCTTGCCACGTTCTGCTTCAAAAGTGATCTAATAATGGAGAGGGAATAAAAAATTACTTCAAAATGTTCAAAACAATGATATAATCAAACCATTGAACAGCTATTAAAGAGGACTAACTCATATGACCCTATTGCACAGGAACTGGCTTTGACACTGAGGAGTAGGAATAGATGTTATCTTCCTGATGCCAGTTATCCATGCTGAGTGAGCTATGTTCAGAGAAAACAGGGTCACTCTAACACCTAAACGAATCTGGAAAGCCCTGTGAAGCTGAGAAGGGCAAGGTTTAAGAAGAAATTCTTGAATTCCCATTTAAATAAATAAAAAGCAAAAATAAAAGAATATGAGTTTCTTTAAAAAAACTGCTTGCCCAGCCAGCGTGGCTCAGTGGTTGAGAGTCGACATATGAACCAGGAGGTCACGGTTCGATTCCCGGTCAGGGCACATGCCTGGGTTGTGGGCACCATCCCCAGTGGGGGGAGGGGGGCATGCAGGAGGCAGCCTATGGATGATTCTCTCTTATCATTGATGTTTCTATCTCTTTCTCCCTCTCCCTTCTTCTCTGAAATCAATAAAAATTATTTTCTAAAAAAACTGGCTGGAAGAAATTTAATATTCCCTGTGAACATTTAATAGGAAACTATATAGTTGAAAGGGAATTATTCTTATATATTCAGATTTTGGTAGTTTATAGTAGTAGTTATTTTCCTTAACATATTGATTCACATATTCAGAAACTATCTGGCATGTCATTGTTTTCATGTGTTGACAAATGTTTCATAATAAGTTATAATCACTTTAATCTAAGACTTTTTAAAATAATCAACAGAGAAGCAGCAAGGTAGGGGGAGGTAACATGTCCCTTCTCACCAGGTTTTGGAAATACACTTTTGTGAGATTCTCACTCTCTACTAGGGGAGATGTTGTCATTGGCACACTAGTTCCTGGATGGGTGGTCCTGGGTCTACTCCTCACGTGGTTAAATCCAATGGCCACAGAGCCAAGAACAGACAAGGCAAAATATAGAGGGAGCAACAGATGCCCAGTGAGAATGAAATGGAAAGTCTCAGTGTGGGGGTTCAGGGCAAGTTAGTAGGGAAACCATCCTGTATGAGCTGGGACTTCTGGTGGGTTCTGTAGTCATCCAGTTCATGGAGAAAACTAAAGCTTATGCTCTACTTTTAACATTTTCTTCCCTACAACTGTCTACTTTGGCTTTTAAAACAATAACCACACAACCGTGAAATTCTCCTTTCACTGAGTGGGCCTGTAAAAGGTACCTTCGAGAAGGAAAAATGTAGGGTTTGGCAGATCCGTCTGGTAAGGGTCTCCCTGGTTTGGGGTTGAACTGCATGGAGGTCTGGGCAGCCGGACAGACAACTGTGCTTGCTGGACAAGCAGGCTGACTTTGCTGCGAGTGGAATCGGAGGGTCTGTGTCAAACAGGACCCCTGCTCCCCAAGGTAAGGGGAAAGGACCCGGACTTCTTGTTGCCCACAGGAGCAAATGTGATTGCGTATCCCCAGAAGATGTTACCTTCCAGACTTAGAGAGAACCCTGCTTTTTAGGACTTAGAGCCAAACCCATTTCACTTAATGAGTGAAACTGTCTTTTCTTCGTTCATGTCCCAGAGAGATCACAACTCATTTTTCACAAGATGTGTAAAATAACAGAAGTGATACTCACAAAACACATCTCCTCGAAGGCTTTGTTCCTGCTCCACGTGGTTCTTCAGGGCTGTCTCATCTCTTTTCTCTTCCTCCAGCCCCTCTCTCTTTCTCTCCTCATTCCCCTTTTCCCCTCCATTTGGGTGCCCATCTCTGGAAACACTCTCTTCAGAGTCAAAGGGCCGCAAGTTACCCTTCGGGGCAGGAGTCCCAGCAGGTTCTACGATGGTGTTTTTTATTTTCACCTTCTTTTTCATGCTGTTTTTGTGAGCAAGCAACTTCTTGATTCTGTCTTTGATGGTACCAGGTGCTCTGAGGACTTCCTTCACAGACTTTTCAGGGATAACTACAACAAACAATAACAGGCGAGAAGTTCCACCTTGGCCGATAATTAGATAACTCACAAAACAACAGAGCATTTGAAAAGTGTTCAAGTGCTGGAAATGAATACTTTCAGAATCAACCCACATGAGGTTCTACCATTTGATATTTTCGGAAGAACTATACGTGCATCTGTTTTAAGCAGTTATGTTATGGTAGCATCTTTTTTTTTTATATTTTACTAGAGGCCTGGTGCACAAAAATTTGTGCACTGGAGGGGGGCGGTCCCTCAGCCAGGCCTGCCCCCTCTCACAGTCTGGGAGCCCTCAGTCTGGGAACCCTCAGGGTATGTCCTACTGACGGCTTAGGCCCACTCCCCTCCCTTGGGGAGTAGGCTTAAGCTGTAGTCTGTAGTCTGGCCTCCCTCTGAGGGAAGCAACTGGGCCGATCAGGGGAAGGCGCCGCCCCCATCACCCTGCTGCTGCTGCCACTGCTGGCCGCCTTGGCTGCCAGCCCTCGGCCCTCGCTTCTTAGTGCTGGCCCCGCCCCCCATCCACTGGTGGGTGGGGGGCAATCTGGGGCCAGGCCGGCTGGGGGAGGGACTGTGGGAGGTTGAAGCACAGCAGGTTGCACCCTGTCCAGCCTCTGTGGAGGCATGGCGCCGCTGCCACTGTGGCTGCCTCTGCAGAAAAGGCATCACTGGGACTGGGACCATGCAGCCCCCTCTCCTGCCGCCTCTGCGGAAGGGGCCGCAGTGCTGGCCAGCCTGCGCTGCCACCTCTCCTGCGCCATCGCCTCTTCCGCGCTGCCAGCCCTTGGCCCTCGCAGCCGCTGTGGCCTTGTCTGGAAGGACATCTGGAAGACGTCTGGTCTAATTAGCATATTACCTTTTTATTACTATAGATTGGTTTTTACAGAGAGGAAGGGAGAGGGATAGAGAGTCAGAAACAATGATGAGAGAGAAATATTCATCAGCTGCCTCCTGTACAACCCCCACTGGGGATTGAGCCTGCAACCAAGGTACATGTCCTTGACCAGAATCGAACCCAGGACCCTTCAGTCTGAGGGTTGACGCTCTATCCACTGTGCCAAACCGGTTAGGGCTGTTATGGTAGTATCGTAACTATCTTTCCTTAGAGGACATACTTTTGTTTTGCTTCAGAGACTACAATGATGAAATACCTGCTCCTACCAAGTTGGGCTACAGGTTCTAAGGTGATGGATTCCTCCGGGGTCCTCTCATATTTCTGCTTTCACACAGGTATTCTTTAAAGCTGGGGTTGCCCAGGTAGCCCTATCGATTTGTCTAAATTTGCTGTTCCAAGATTACAGCTATAGCATTAGGCTGGACCAGGTAAATGGTCAATAATGGGCCATTTGTGACCAATAAAAATTGTGCTTTATGGTTCAATGTGTATATACCTAATTTTTCTTCCCTGTTCTCTCTCTGCTTTGAATTTCTTAACCTCAACCCACTACTATCTAAAGTGAAATAATTCTATTTATTGAATATTTATAGAGGCTTTTACATTTGCTGTTTTACATTCATTTCCTATTTCTCACCACTGGATTAAATTGTTTTAAAAAATGTACCTCTAGATTGATTCCTCATGCCCCCGGTGGGTCAACGAAGAACTCAAGAGGTAGAAAAAAAGATCATTTAGCCCAACAACTTTGTTTTATAGATGAGGCAACTGGGTCATGTTAAGTGACTTGCCCAAAGTCACTCAGATACCAAGGGGCAGAGCTAGGATTTGAGGGTGAAGGAGAGGAATGATTCTTTTTTTCCAGTCCTATTTCCATGACAGATTTATTCCTGCTCTAGGGTTAAGGGTTACTTTTCTCTAGACTGGTTCAAATGCCTTGAAATCTAGAACCCAAAGATGCATGCCTCCTTTTCAGGGATCTACTCATGACAATTAAAGATATCCAACTAATGTAAAAAAAAGTAATTTTTTAAAATTAAAAACACTGCCCAGCCAGCATGGCTCAGTGGTTAAGCATCGACCTATGAACTACAGTGGTTCTCAACCTTCTGGCCCTTTAAATACAGTTCCTCATGTTGTGACCCAACCATAAAATTATTGTCGTTGCTACTTCATAACTGTAATGTTGCTACTGTTATGAATTGTCATGTAAATATCTGATATGCAGGATGGTCTTAGGCGACCCCTGTGAAAGGGT